CTTTCAGATTGTCTGAACACGTGACCTGTGAGTCACCATTCAGATCCCATTCAATCTGACCACTACGGATGCTCTAACCCGGGCACATGGCAGATGTCACGTGTTCAATCTGTCTCAAAATTGTAACGTTATTCAGACCCGAAGTTTACTTGATTTCAATTTTGCCTTCTTTGGGGGTGCAATCACGAATGGACTGCCGCACAGTTGACTTCGCTTTTTGGGTTAATCCCAAGCCACTCACAAGCCCCCTCGAATTTTGATAAAAGGGAAGTCGCGCCCACACACTTCTTGATCCTCCAGACTTCATCCTGATTCGAGGCCAACCCCGTTCAACAGTATACGAGCCTCAGCCATTACATGCTCTTTGGTGGAGCCTTCGTTGCAAAACGATGTAGTAATGGACACGACTTCACGCCCGTCCTGGGTGCCACTATCGACGATGCAACTGGTTTCACTCTTGTTCTATTTGACAGGCAGCCATGTCCGGCTGTCTAGGAACGTGCCGTTTCCAGGTGTTGAGACGGGGGCTCCGTAAGACCATCGGTGTGCCGGGACAAAGTAGGGCTTGCGTGATGAGGACCTTTGAGAATTGCCGCGGTCTGGGTCAGGATGGACTTTCATTGACTCACCTTGGGAGATTCACGCTCTCTTCATCGTGCGTCGTTGTGTTTGCTTTTCTCACCAGGGAGATTCACACTCTTCCATAAGCGGTGGGTTCCTCTCCTGTAGCTCAATGGTAGAGCACTGTCCGCTTCCAGTGGATGGGGATGCTGGTTCGACTCCAGCCTGGGGGGATAATATTGGTCGAGAATGTGTATGCTAAGGAATCAAAATATATTGTGGTTTTCCAAAAAGTTAGTCAGTGATTGCCTGTTTCAAAGTGTCGCTCTATATCACTCTCGATGTTTGTGTCTATGTGTTTGTGCTTGCGTGTGTGTGCATGTTTTTTGATACGGCTTGTGTTTATAATGTGCTCGCAGCATTCCCAGGAGCGGCCAAAAAGATTCGAACATATTGCGCGTGATAGACCATGTTGGATCAACATAATCTATTCATTCACTGATTCACTCATCATTACGGCGTGATCCCTTATGCACGTCCATGATTGTCCCGCCATCTACAAACACGAACTCTCGTCAAATAATCAATTCTCCTTTCCTTCCTCTGCATTCCCCTTCAAAACCCTCCAATCATCCTCCTGCCCGCCCCTCTCACCAACCCCCAATTCAATCTCAAGAAACCAAACCTTCCCCCTCCCCACAAACCTCCACCTTCTCCTCCTCAACTCTCACATCCTCAACAAAAGGCATGTGCCCAATGTCCCGCAATCCTACCTCCCGCAACACCTCATCCTCCCTCAAAAGATGAATATCCAGTTCGCTCACCCGCAAACCCCGTCCACCGCCAGGCGTATCGACATACTCGATGAGCTGCTTTGCGTTCTCGTCTTTGTTGTACGTCATGCATAAGTAGACGCTCTCCGCCAAGGGCCTCGTTTCCAGCTGTGCTTTTTCTGCCGTCGTTGCCAATCGGCGTAATAAGTGCGGGTACCGATCCAACACGGCCTGACCAGACGAGTAGCCCAAGAACAGCCCGACCTGCAGATCAACTACATAGCGAGGGCGCGGTGATATGTGCATGCCTGGCACGGATGATGGACGTTGCGTGGAAGGGGGCGGGATCGAAACGTGGCTCACAGCCACCGGACCGGCCGGATGAGCAGGAAGTAGGACCGCATAAAGCGGGAGACACTGTCGTTGCCTGTATTCGTTCAGAGCAGCGTGTTGGACGCTGCGGATTGCCTCAAGTGTCAATTCTTCTTCGTGTCTAGAATCAGTTGGCAGCCCCGAATCCTGTGTCACCCCCTCGATCGTCTGGAGCCACGCGTCCACATTATGTGGGCAGAACTGTTTCGTTGGCGGCTCCAGTGGTAGGTCGTCGTCACTCGAGTTTGACTGTTCATCTTTTCGGGCTCTACGGGCGAGATTGGGGCGTTCCTGATCATCATAATATGGCTTCAGCATCAAGGTGTCAACGCAACTCGAGAATGGCGACTAAACTTTACCAATTGTGGTGCTACTTCGCGGTTCCTTTTCCCCTTTTTGGTGTAAATGACGTCTACATTAGAAGGAGTTTCCCCGCTGGAAACGGGGACGCGACCCTTAGCATTCATTAGGCATTTAGTCAGAAAAAACCTCGTCTTACTGTTTGCGACTTCGCGTTTTGCTATTATCATTTATATGTCTACAAACTTCAGTATGAGATGCAAAGAAGTTGCTTGGTATCTTGTAATCCGGTCGCTCCTCGCGGACCAGATCGTTGGCAGTGCTGTGGGCATAGATTTAGCGAACGCAGTTGACCTGGACACATTCCTACGCGCGGGAGCAAAGCACTATTCAGCAGGTAGTTACTTTCTCAGTTCTCTCTGTTCTGAATTCGTAGCATCTTCTGGATTGACCACAGCAAGAACTAGCAAGACGGCGGGCACCAGTCTGAAGAGCGTACGGGTACAGGCGATATGTTTTCCCTTTCGGCCGTCGTTCCAGTTGCTTTTTATTGAGTTTCGATATCGCCCGGGCGACAAGCTTTTCGTCCTCAGTTGAAAAGTTATTCACGATGGCCTCGCAGCCCGGTTCGCCGTGTACTGGGAGATCCATTTTGGTGATTGTGGAGTAGGAGAGACTGTGACCGTGGGAAACTTTTAGAGTTCTGAGTCTGTTTCGGGTTTGGCCTCAGTTTCAGGCCAGCAAGAGTACGACTTGTCGGACTTCTTCCTCCAGACACCAGATATCACTCATTTTCGTTGAGGTTATGCATGGAGTATCATTATTGGCCGATGTTCTTTGATCATATAATGTCGTCATGCACCGGTATTGAGCAAATAGATTGCAACCGGTGGGATCATACCCCTTGGGCATTCACACCGTTCTCCGCAGGCCTACATTCATGATAGACGTTCGGCGCTGTTTCATTCATGCATTCCAAATCATCCCCTCATGGAGGCTGCAAAGCACATAGCAGCTGATGTTCGATATAAGGATGACGTTATCCTATGTTACCTTGCTTCCGCTTGTCTAGGAACGATTGATACGGGGGCGCTATTGGTGACTGGACTGGGTCTAATTTAACGTAAGGTTTGTCGTCCATCTGAGAAAAATATTTCCGTTAGTATCCCGCTCATTGCAATCCATCCCCGCATTCAAAAGAAAATCATCAGTCTGAAGCACACCTCCAGCGGATATGTCTGGTCGGAGTCATAAGCTGACAAGTCTCCGCACGCAATGAATGGCACGATGACCCTATTTACTCCTGTCAACTCATTGTCCGGGCCATAGCTGTAATCTAGGAGTGGATTGATCATCGTGGGGATGTATCCTTCTGGTGGAGTGTAATTCTGGCAGACGATGAAGGCCTCTGAAAAAGATAGCGACGACAGTGAGATGATGGAAGAGGCACTTTCCTCCAACGGTCCGCGACGATAATCATACCTATACTGGAGTTGCGAGAACTACGGGGTTTGCTGCAGGTGACCAATGGGAAGAAGACTTTCATTTGCGCGTACAAGAGGGAAATGTCCTTTCCACGGAAGATTTTGGCAATGAAAGTCCCACCGGGTCTTAGGACATGGGTAGTGATGTTTAGTGCCTGTTGCCGGACGATAATTGGACTTTAGTTTCACGCATGACGGCCCATATTAGTTTGCGACAAAATACCGACAGCAAGGAGGAGTTGAGCTTGTATATATTCATCCATGTCGTGCAGTCCCGTCACTGAATATGCAAATTGAGTTCACTTTCCTGATTGATGTCCACATCACGGGAAACATACCATCCGGTGCACCATCACACACTACCATATCCGCCAGCTGTCCCTCGAAATGCGATACAATCTGCTCGGCCGTGGATTGCTTCGTGATATCTCCTTGAATTTGAATGACACCTGGTAGTGGAGCCTACCAATGCCATTTGTCAGCTCGAAGTCATCTTGGAATCAGATTTCGTTGCTGTTACCATCGCTTGCAAGTCTACTGCAACAATCTTTGGTGGCTTCCCAGGATCCTCTGTTTTGAGTTTCTGAATAACAAGTCAGACCCCAGTCATGTTCGATGAAACCGCCTTGCTTGATCAGTATCCACCTTACTCAAAACCTGACTCCACGACCCGGGCGCAGCACAGAGATCTACACAATTACGAACTCCCTCAAAAATATTGAACTCTTCATCTATCAGAGGACTTCGGTCAGTGGCCGCAACAGGAAGAGTAACACCACTTCCAACCAACCAATTTGCAGCAGCTTGAAAGCACTTCGTGCCCGCCATCCTGTGTAAGAACCAATTTATTACGAAGCAAAACAATCGAAGCTTTCTTCATCAAGAATAAACCTTGTTCTTTGGCAAGACGATAGTATATATCTCGCTGTTGGAATTTCAAGTTACTGACAACGAAGACAACAAGCCAATGACGGTAAAGCATAGGTACCTTATCTTTGGAAGACTTTCCCATCTCTGAATTTCGATGTACGCGAGCACTTCAAGACTACGTATAGGTTGCCGTATTTGGGAGAAAGAATATATGAAGACCTGGGGTTGTAAGTTATGTGGTTGAATTCAACAGTGCAGTAGTTGCAGTGAGAAGTATTGTTCTCAGGTCCGGCCAAAGAGCCCGCAGCACCCGTGCACCTGTCAACTTTTTGCAGAAATGCCAAGCCACATCCTCATCGGCACACCCCCACACGCGCTTCCCCAAGCTGGCTGATTCCTTCTGCCAAGCTGAAAATAGCACCCTCAGATGTAAACATGAACGTGACCGCGTGAGACAATTGGACAACATGAACAACGTTTTGATCCTCGACAATGGAGCACATACAATCAAAGCAGGATACGCGCAAAGCGCGGATAACGCACGGTGAGACTTCGGCCTCTATTTGGAAATTGCGACCTTTGTTCTCAGATGGCACTTCCCACAGGCTCTTCCCAAACTGCATCTCAAAAGGAAAAGTGGATAAGCGAACTTTCATAGCAGACGAGCTTTCCAACTGCCGAGACTTTTCCGGGATATATTTCAAATTCCCTTTCGAAAAGGTAGCGTGTCGCCGATGTGTATTCAAAAAGAGCAGTGATCACGCGCCCTCTTAGCAACTCATTTCTTGCTAGCAGGCACTGAACCATGTTCCATGCAGGGTTTCTTAGTTGAATGGGAGCTGCAAAGGGACATTTGGGAAAGGGTGCTTACAGCTCTGCGGGTAACGTGTCACCTTTGAACATCATTGCAGAAGGGAAGGCTTTTGTATTTACTCAACGCGTAGTGCGACCCATCTCAAACAACCCTGCTGTTGACTGAACCCTGTTTCAACTTTCCAAATATCCAACACGCGTACGATGAAGTCATTTTTGAGGAGTTTGAGTTTAGCTCGTACAGAAGATCGACTGGTATTGAGCTCGCTGGTATTGAGCTCATTTCAGGGAGAACGAGCCTAACCCTGATCATCCGTAGCCCCAGCCCTTAGTTCTCACTTCACTTCAAATTCGCTATTACCCGAAGCAGAATGTGCCCTTGTTGTTGACTCAGGATACTCATTCACGCACATCGTTCCGGTGTTCCGAGGGAAACCAATATGGAATGCGGTCAGACGGTGCGGTTCGCACATGATACCTCTGCGATCACCGCCTATGCTAAAATCCATTTACAGTATCAACATCGGTGGTAAACTCCTTACGAATCACTTGAAGGAAATAGTATCTTTCCGGTATGCAAATGCGTTTCGATCACATCGGTGCCCGCGACATAGGTTCATC